CTGGCGGAGGTCGGTAAAACAAGGGCTACATTTCGACAATCGAAAAATATCTGGAACTCCAAACAACTTCCAACCAAAACCAAAATCAGGATTTTCAATACAAATGTCAAGATAGTTCTACTGTATGGAGCGGAAACTTGGAAAACTACCAAAGCCATCATGCATAAGATACAAGTGTTTATTAATAGTTGTCTACGAAAAATACTTCGGATTCGTTGACCAAACACTATCAACAACAACTTACTGTGGGAGAGAACAAACCAGATTCCAGTGGAGGAGGAAATCAAGAAGAAGCGGTGGAAGTGGATAGGATACACGCTGCATAAAGCACCTGACTGCGTCACAAGACAAGCCCTCACATGGAACTCTCAAGGTGAAAGGAAAAGAGGAAGGCCAAAGAACACATTACGTCGAGAAATGGAGACAGACGTGAAAAGAATGAACAACAACTGGAAAGAACTGGAAAGGGAAGCCGAGGACAGAGTTGGTTGGAGAAAACTGGTGGGCAGCTTATGCTCCATTGGAGGTAACAGGCGAAAGTAAGTAAGTAAGAATTTCACTAATCAAGATTAAATGTAACCGCTGATTTAGGTGATTCAATATCATGTGCACTATGACACTAGCTAGTAAAGCTCACCAGCAATCTTGAACGGCGCCGATGCTCCACGGTGTGTTAAATTCTAGGTAATTCATCTTCAGAGTCTAAGACATCACCATTGAGATATTCAAACCACGATATATATATATATATATATATATATATATATATATATATATATATATATATATATATATATATATATATAATAACACCTTTGAATTATGCCTTGATTACATTAAGGATTTATGATTTTTTCTCACTATTTGTTATTTACAAGTGCTTTGTCAAAGACGTATTATGATCAACTTCTTGTTGGCCTAGTTCTTGTAGTGCTGAGTGAATTTGATGAATCAAGATGTTTAACTGATTCAATTTCATATGCACCATGTAAAGCATTTAAGTGGGTAAAGCAATCTAGGTTTCAAGATGTTTGACACTTGCCAAGAAAGCGCACCAGCAACCTTGAAAGCACCAATGCTCCACGATAGGTAATTCATTTTCAGAGTCTAGAATATCATCACTGAGATATTCAGACCACGATCAACTAACTCCATAAATTCTGTGAAACTGTGTGGTTGTTGTTTGAAACCACTAGTGGATCAGTTTCCTTAAGACTACAGGTAGGCAGTGTTGACGAAGTCCAACTCTCATGAACTCAAAACTCAAGGTTTCACATTGATTAACTCACTACGCCTTCTAATATTTATCATTTTTAAAGGTGAATAACCTTCCAGTGTTGAAATTCAGGACAGAATTTTATCAGTTTTTATTACAATAGAGACATAACGAAATGTTTTAACATCGCCGGTATACACCGAAATTTCATGATTATCATGACTCAGTAGGTGAATGGCAGACCAATCGATGAATTAGTGCAACTTCATCAGTTGAAGTGGTTGGAACATATGTTACGAATGCTCAACCACCGACTACAGCGACGAGCTATGTTTTATGGTGTAGGAATAGGTTGGAAAAAAAAACTAGGGGCGACCAAACCAAAATATGGCACAAATCCATGAAGTCACTAACAACTGGATTAAGTCATGTTGGTAAATGTCGACTACCTGATCGAGGTCCGCGAGATGATAGTAATCGATGGTTAGAGACTTTGAACGACATGGATCAAAACCGTTTGCAGTGGTGTAGGTGCACTCATTCTTTGTCTTCTCTCAAATCCTAATCTTCTGAAATCCTCATGACCGTTATTTTCTCCCTCTATTTTTTAACTGATTCCTCTGGAGTATACATCTCGAATGATATATTCGACTATTAATCTAGTTGATTACTGCTAAATACTTCTACTACCTCTACCAATATGGGATGTGAAACCCCAATCGCATCTCTGTACTATCGCTATATGGCAACTTGAACTGATGTACCTACATACGAAGTCCTACGTTGTAACTGACTGACTGACTGATAGAAGCTTAATGAATAACAGTTTACACTTTAAGCTATATGTCATGAGTTTGAGACATCACCTTGTAGGTATTAATATTAGAATTTTGTGCACATTCAACTGGTAAATCAAATAACATGATACATTGGCCTTAGTTTTCACTGATAGACATTATCTAAAACAGTATTGAAGGATATGAAATAATATAACATAATTAATAGGTTCATTAATGTAATTAGAAATTTTTAAGAGTGAAAATTTTCAACTCCATGCTTTATAATTATGATAATAGATAATAAATCATAAATTACAATTACAATCAAAAAGTTGTAGTATTTTGGATAATTATATGTTTATTACAAAAACAATTAATCTAATTTTGTAATCACATGTTTAATTTGCAGAAGGATAAAAAGAAGGAATGATATCCAAATTATTTATAGGAATATTCCTTATCAATTATCACAAGCTAAATGTATTCATTGTATGGATGGAATTATTTATTCTGGCTAATGTGTTTTTGTTTGAACAAGCTGGCTTTCTACGGGCCAGCACTGCTAGCTCCATGTCGAAGTCTTCTTCTTTATCTGGGCTTAGGAACACCGGTAGTCAGCCCAGGAAGGATATAGGCGGAGTAGGTTGGATAACGATGGTCGGTGGCCTATGCTTCGCTAGGGATAACAGTAGTAAGTAGGTTAGACATCGTATCAATTATCGGGTAATACGTGTAACGATAAAATTATGGAAACGGTAGAATACCAATCGAACGAAATAACGATTGTAGTATGTTGGGGACGGTAGATCCCCAGAACTCACTTGAAAAGAAAAAGCTCAACAAGCTGATCTCCGTTCCAAGAGCTGACCTCTCCGACAGCGGCGAACAACAGTCAAGATGCAAGTGAACCCCAAGAACGTTGTGGACGTTAGAACTCACTTGATAAAGGTCCTAATTTTGGATTTTTTTATGTTTTCGCGAATAAATTGCTTAGTTGACCCTGAGCATACATTTCCCACTCGAAAAATGCTTGGCTTTCACTGGTTGGTGTATTATTTTAGTACGCTATTTTTGCAGCTCTCTCAAGGGCGTTTCTATCATTGTATAAATAAGCTTGATTTGTGTGTTTTTCAACTTTGTATTTTCTGGGTGCTGGTAGTAGAATACACTTTCTATACCATATCAAGACTTCCTGATACAGTTAGCCAGGTCAGGGACAATCGGATTAGAGCAGCCTATCGTGTCACTGCATCATTTCTCCTCGTTATCGTTTACCGAGTAAGGTGAACTCGTAATAGCATTCAAGCATATCAATTGATGAGCATATCATATTATTGTTAAGTAACAGTCACTTTAGATAAAGTTTACAATCCAATCCATGCAATTTATAATAATGAGTAAGTAAACTCTATACATAATATGTCCCATGCTCATTATGTTAAACATATTGATTTTATCTGATGAAAAGATTTTCAATACATAAAGCTACTGTAATAAATAATTATGTAAATAAACATTCACAGCAAATAAACAAACAGTGCAGATAATTTTATACAAACATAAATTATATAACGTTACAATGAATCAAATTTTCGTTAATATAACAAGCGTAAGTAACATTCCAATAGTTTGAAATGTCACCAACTTCCTCTCTCTCTCTCTAAATAATAAGGAAAAACTAAGTGAAACATAGTGATCTGTTAATCGAATCATTTTTATGGATTTCATCAATAAAATGTTATAAATTTTCAAAAAAGAAAATTCATTAAATTTTTTTTGTTTGAAATTCATATCCACTTCATTGCACTGATATTTAATGAAGTTCAAAAGTCAATATAATTACAATGCAACAATAAGCTTACACTAATGAGATAAAAGAGAAAAATTCTTTTCTCTATGTAATAAAAGTAAATGAAAGATTAGATAGGATAAGCAACTTAATTGACCGACAGATAATCTACTAGCCGAAAAGTGTACATGTTATATCATAAAACATCCATTTGTAAGTAAAACAAGCATTCTGAACCTGCCATGCATCCAGATACATAAATTTTCGCTTTGTTCACTGCATACTACTTATAAGCACCGTTATAAGTAGCACATACCACAAGTATACTGTAAATTATTGAGAACCTTCTAATTAAAGTTTATTCATTCTATCAGTTAGTTGTTTGAGATGCACAACTAAATATTTACGTTTTCTGAGCTAGATGTTTTGGTTGTGGAGCTTTCATTGTCCTTGTGAACAACATCATCAGCACAAACTTCAAACAGAGGTGAAGTCAAGTCAAGTCAAGTCAACAACAACAACATTGAACTTCGTATGTACGTACATTCAAATCTCATAGTAGTAGAGATAGTAGAAGTATTCGCTGTGATCAAAAATATTAGGGTTCAAAGATTGGATTTAAGAAGTATAATCCAGTAAAATACATTTAAAACGAGGAAGATAAAGGTGATTAGAATTTGAGAGTACACAAAGAGTGGATGCACCTGCGCCATTGCAAACGATTTTGAGCCATGTCGTTTAGGGTCCCTAATCATCTATCGCTATCATCTCGCGGACCCCAACCAGGTAGCCTACATCTACCAACAGGACTCAGTCCACGGGTCAGTGACTTCCTGGCTTTACGCCATGTTTTGGTCTGGCCGCCTCTAGCTTTCTTCCAACCTTTTCCTATATCGTGAATCATAGCTCAACGAGGCAGTCGGTGGTTAGGCATACTCAACATATGTCCCAACCACCTTAACTGATGAAGTTTCACTACTTCATCTATTGATCTGCCACTCTTACTTAGGACCCGTTTCCTAACGTCAGCATTGCTTACTCGGTTGTATTCGAATTTCTCTACGCTTGACCCGTAACTTGTTCTGTCAGTCTCGATCTTGATTGATTGCGGTGTTGACCTTAAAGTCAAGATTGAGGTTAACACGAACACCACAATCATCCACCTGAGCTAAAAAATTTTCTCTACCATACATATCAAGATAAGAAAAAGTCTTTGTAAGTTTTAATTACTTGTTAATATTGTTTTTGTACAAATTATATAACACAATATACTGTATCAATTGTTCACTACTTCTTACGTTTCCGTTTACTAATTTTATGTTCCGTGCTCTTCTTACTCCCTTCATCATCATCATCATCAACAACATCAACCACATTCTTATCGTTGCCAACAATTGGTATTTGATTCCACAAATCATCGAATTCTTTTTGCGCTGTTTCAGATATACCGTGGGAATTGTCACCTTTTTCTGCTTTATTGCTGGTAACACAATTATCATCAGTTTCTGTGGATAGATTGGCAATATTCTTAAAGTTTGCATTACAAGTAACAAGAAATGATGTTACAGGAACTTTGGTATATATCTGTCGTATAATTTTTGAAAAAAATCAAACAAACAAACAGAAGAATTACAATTAAAATGCATTGACCATAGGTTAGTTTATAATGAAGTCTGTACAGAGTGAAAAGCGGAAACATAAAGCTAGAAAAACAAAAGTTGCGCATCTTAAAACTATGTGTAATGCTATGAAACTGTACTAAACTGTGTTATAAACTGTGAGCACACTCAAATTGCATCGGATGCTGTTGTATGGTTTTCTTACTGACTCATAACATTTTTTGGCACTTCATTTTGAAAAAAACCATTCAATGATACTAGCTTATCTCAACTATTTGATGGTTGAAAACAAACATTTGTAATAATTGATTCTTTAGGCTATTAACTTATTGTTAAACAGATGGCATATGGATTCGGGTTTCCTTACACCTTTATCATACCATTCAATTCAATAAACTTTCTTATGAGTAACCAGATTGAACACTTCATTTGCCCCTTTTAAATTTAGCAGAATCTAATACATTGAGTCGTCGTACACTTAAGTGATGACAACGTAAGCATAGGAGAAGTAAAGAGAATAGATATACAAAGAAGGATTTCATAAGAAATTGAAATAATTCTCTGTATATACTGGCTTCAATTCCTCTTTAACTTATCACTTTACAAAAAGACATCTAAACAATTATGAATGTGTTAGAAAAACAAACATGAAGCTACATGAGGAATCAGTTTAATTAACCACGATAAAGATTGAAAATAATGAATTCATGATATTTCTTTTGAACGTTACAGGATGAAAAACGAAAAACAACTGAGCCAATGATTACCACGGATTGAACAATTCAGATTTTCAAAACCAAATTGGTTGATGATAGATATTATGAAGTTGTAAGGTACTTACTCATTTTTGACCGTTTATCCTACAAGTAACGTTAAAACTTAAAATAATATTCTACATCAGAGCTAGTCATTGGCTAGCATACAAATAGTGTGCTGTGTACTACTTATACGGACAGATGTAAGTAGTTTATAACGGAGGATAAGTAGTAGAATTCTCATTAGCAAATGACAGCAATGAGAAGAGAAAGAAAGCAAACAGACGGGCATTGGAATAAAAACAATAACGAATGAACGTTGAATATTGTAAAGGTCAATTCAAAGATATCCGAATGGTACATTTAGTGTAATGTTTTCATAGTTTACAAAGAGTGTATAATTTTATTCATAATACAACTTTCTTTTTCGCCTGCCCAAGTTTTCATTCTTTAAAGTAGCACCTACCAGAGTAATTCCGTGAAAATTTGCACTGCTTAAAAATAAACTTATCACAGACTGATATCTATTGAAGAATAGAAAATTATAAGAAACCAGATAGGTTTCAGTAGTCCTAACCATTGGTTAATTTATTCAGGAATGAAGCAGTAATTTATGGAAAGCATTCAGTCGACGATTTGAATGTGACCGATTTGGTGTTGTGTGCTGTTACGGGTATGAGGGCGGATTTCACCTCCCGGCTGCCCACACCGTGGGGCTTCCAGAGGAACCTGAAAAGGAAGGTAGATTGGCGTTGGTCTTAGAGACCCGGTTGCGTGACCGCAGAGCCCAAGGTACAATTGCTTCAGGCCGGTCATGCACGGCCTTTTTATGAGTTTTTAAAGTATAAGCTCCCCTCTTGTTTAAAAGCCCTTACCGCCGGAGACGCAAATCTGTGAGGTAAGGTGAGGTATGACATTTTTACGGTCGACCTTTTCCAACCCCTTCTTTCCTTGTAAGAAGGCAGTATCGCTGCAGATGCTGGTTGTCCGAGGAAAACACCTTACTGCTGTCACACCCCTCTACAATCAGCAGTACGACTTCGCCCTCAGACCTTGAGTAGCTGCTTTTAGTCTCATCGTTCTCCAATCGACCTGCATGGCATGGTAGGACCTACAGGAACATATATTGCAGCCAATATAGCTCGGTTGGGTTATCAAGATAGGCAAGCGCGACCACCAGGTCAAGGTAGCAGCTATGTTCGGGTATGAAAAGCACTAAATGAAGAATATAATCGTAAAGGTAGGATTTATCTAACTTATAGTGGATAAATTAGTCCCATTAGTTGGAATAATATTTATATTGGTCAAATATTCTTGGTCAGAACACTTGTGACTGCTTTACATGGAGGAACGTATTTTATTGCATTCCATTCGTTAGCACACATAATGATGAAACTATCATAAAAAACCTAAGGATAGTAAAGATATCAACAGCATCAATGCAAGTAAAAAAGGATTCGGCATAGAAGATAATGATTTGCTGAAAAGAAAATATTGGATCATTCAATAGAAGTCACAGAATAATTTAGAAATAAAGCATCTAGTAGGAGAGAAAAATTGAATGCACCTGAGTCAGATGTGAGGGCGCGGATTGGCAAAGCGAGGGCTGCATTTCTACAGTTGAAAAATATCTGGAACTCAAAACAACTTTCAACCAAAACCAAAATCAAGATTTTCAATACAAATGTCAAAACAGTCCTACTGTATGGAGCTGAAACTTGGAGAACTACGAAAGTCATCATCTGGAAGATACAAGTGTTTATGAACAGTTGTCTACGCAAAATACTTCGTATTCGTTGGCCAGACACAATCAGCAACAACGAACTGTGGGAGAAAACAAACCAGATTCCAGTGGAGGAGGAAATCAGGAAAAAGCGGTGGAAGTGGATAGGACACACATTGCGGAAAGCACCTAACTGAGTCACGAGACAAGCCCTCACATGGAACCCTCAAGGCAAAAGGAAAAGAGGAAGGCCAAGGAACACACTACGCCGAGAAATAGAGAAAGATATGAGAGGACAGAACTGGTGAGGGAAGCCCAGGACAGAGTTGGTTGGAGGAAACTGGTGGGCGGCCTATGCTCCATTGGGGGTAACAGGCGTAAGTAATTCAGTAATGAGTCAGTGTGGACGGTTCTCGGTCATGTCATCCAAACCAATCTAATCAATGAATACAATATTTGCCTATGTCCAAACTAGGCAGTCTGCATCCATTCACATGGCTTAGTTTAACTGTTAATTACTTCAAGAATTTATGCTATATCCACCTTAGACTTTCTCCAGCCTACACTCTTACAGGTTTGAAAATGAATCTTAGACATGCTTATATTGCTGATTATTTAGTCAGCATCCGCACCAAGCAAAACTATATAATCTGGATATTTCAAGTCAACAAGTAAATCTCCTAGTAACAGATGAATTGCCGAAAAGTTGGACAATGCAAACATTTTCTTCAAAAGAATTTATACGATAAATTCAAATCAATATGAATAAAGTGAACAACCCTGAGGTATACACCACATGAAGTTTCCAACTCTGATGAAAGTTATTTATAAACTTTGACTTGACTAGTAGTATTTGAGTAGAAAACTTGTATAAGGTTAGTACACTTTTTTTGGCATGCTCTTCAACGTCAGACACTAGAACGGATATACGGTCAACAGAGTTGAATTCTGTGTCCAGGTCACAAGCAATACAACCATAAACGAACATGGGAAAGCATATTTATATATTTCAGAAGCTAGTAAATGGCAAATTGTTGGTCAGTGCATTTACATCTAGACATAAAACAAGGCTGTTTTCCTAGGGTTTGCTCATTAAAAACCTTAGCTGAGTGCTAGATGACATCATACAAGTCCAACTGATCAATCTATGGTTTAACTGGGATGTTTGTTCTTTCTTATAAACTGGAAGGACTAGTGATCGACAACGGTCAAGTTGAATTATGCCCAGTTCACAAATTCTAGCTATTATATCAGTCAATTTAACTGCTGAAACTGGATCACAATGATGTTGCTTTTTGCTTTATATTAGCCATAGACTTTCCAACTTTATTAAGAGCCAATGTGTTATGGTTATTTCGGAATAGTAGGCAATTGAAAGGTAGCTGAAAGTTAGTTGAACTGTTGCTCAAAATGTTCTGCCTATCGGTCAGTAAATTCAAGTTCTTGACTATCTAGCACATGGATGTTGCAGTATATCACTTCCCATACTTAGCGCGGTGGGAGGTCTTGGGTTAGTGATTTTGAATTTAGAACAAGGGAACTGTGATTCCCCAAACATCTTATGATCAAAACCAAGTCAAAAAACCTTGGTTCACTCATCATCATATTTAGGCAGAAATTTGAAGTAACTCAGTGTACAGAACGATGGTCTTAATTTTGATGGCTATGTAACGGTTAAGTTATCTAAATGAGGAGAAACTCTGAAAAAATTGAACTCGTACCAAAACATTTAATGAGTTTATGATTACCTTTCCAAGGCGTTTTCCCGTATCACGATTATAAACTCGCAAATATCGATCTAGCGAAGATGCTATTACAATTGGTTCATTATTTGCAGTTGTCTCCATGGATGGGAATGTATTCTCGTCATCAGCTCCACTACATATTAATTGCGTTATACAACCTGAAGCTCCAGCAAGACATCGAACACCAGAAGGTGGGTCAGGTGCTCGTGATCCGTAGCTTTTGACTGGTCTAACATGATCATCAAGGGAATTCAAATTAGAATATTCCGGAGGAAGCCTTAAATCCAATATAGATAATTCACCAACTGCATTTCCAGCAACAACACGTAATCCTATACCAGGAGAGCTATCATAAGCTACTGCTTTTGTGATAGGTCGAATAGTAGCTAAATCCGGGAGCACTGCACTGTGTTTTCCGGAACCGACATGAAGTTTTCCATGTTTGCGACTTGTACGCCATGCATGACGAGCAACAGGTCGACGTTGGCCACATCGGAGATCGTATATATCAAACTAAATATAGAGGATCAAAACTAAGTGAGTGAGCATTTCCACAAACCACTAAAAATTAGAAACATATTGAATTATTTAAACTAAAATACAAGGAAGACAACTGATTAGTTTTTACTAAGGATCAATGCGAAACCTATATCAGATGAAGGAGACTACCTTTAAAAAGATGAAATGGGAACACCAATATGTCAATTCATATCGTTAGATAATTTCTCAACAACATGGGGCGAAGTCCTACAAGAAGAGAGCGTTGAATGAACAAGTAACAAGCGTGCAAAACAGTGAGGCGATTAAGATGAGGAGAAAGGGAATGGACCTACAAGCGGAAGGGATCCCTATTTTTTAAGAAAACGAGATTACCGAATTGTAGATGACACTTGTAATTGCTGAATTTTACGAGTATTCGAATATAGGTTTTAAGTTTACGAGAGACAAAAAACGAAACACGTTTTAATAAAAACTACAGTGAGTAAATCAGCTACATACGTACGTACATCAGTTCAAGTTGCCATATCACATAAGTACAAAGATCCAATTGTTAATTCAAATCCCAGTGGTAGAGGTAGTAAACGTCAGGCAGTAAATATATTGGCAGTGATCGAAGTTATTAAGGTTCGGAGATACTATTCGAGAGGCATAATCCAGTCGAATAAATTTTAAGGGAGTAAAAAGTCATCACGAGGAACTCAGAGAATTATAATTCGAAAGAACACAAAGAATCGATGCACCTGCCCCAACGAAAACAATTTCGAGCCATTTCATTCAAAGTCTCTAACCATCGGTCACTATTGTCGCGTAGGAATCAACTTGGTAGTCTACATCTACCAACATGGCTCAGTCCAGTTGACAGTGATTCCATGAATTTGTACCATATTTTGGTCTGGCCGCCCCTAGCTTTCTTACAGTCAGTCAGTCAGATGCAAGGTAGAACTTCGTACGTAAGTACATCAGTTCATGTTGCCATACCACATTAGCACAGAGATATAATTGTCAATTCAAATCCAATAGTAGTAGAGGTAGTAAAGGAATTAGAAGTAATCGGAGAGGTTAGGGTTAGAAGATACTATTCAAGAAGTATGATTCAGTGAGAAAAGTTTAGAGGGTCGAAACTAGAGGTGTTGAAGAATCCAGAAGATTAGGATTTGAGAGAACACAAAGAATAAATGCACCGGCGCCATTGCGAACGATTTTGAGCCATGTCATTCAAGGTCTCTAACCATCGATTATTATCATCTCGCGGACTCCGACCCGGTAGTCGACAATTACCGACATGGCTCAGCCCACTAGTCAATGACTTCACGGATTTCTGCCCACCTCTATACCAGAAAACCACTCGACAAGGCAGTCGGTGGTTAGGCATACGTAACACATGTCCCAACCACCTCAACTAATGAAAATTCACTACTTCATCTATTGATTTGTCATCCTTATCTAGTAACAGTTTCATAACCCACGCATTGTTTACTCAATTGTCCCAGAGACACCGATGATCGAAAACCAGTAACCTACGAATATCTTCTACTCTCACTGGCCATGTTTCACAGCCATAAAGTGGGACGGAGCGAACTGGTGCGCGGTATACTTGTTCTTTGGTTAGTAGACAGATATCTCATCTACGCCATGAGTGAAGCAAGTTGGCAAAAGCCAATCGAGCCTTCTGTATCCGCACTGAGATTTCGTCACACACCGGGCCATCAGCACTGATGAGGCTCCGCAGATAAGTGAAGCGGTCACAACATGCCCAACTACTTGACTTCCTATCACTAGTTCAGACACTGGTGCAAGACAATCCTGAAGCAACATTTTGCATTTCGAGGCGATGATGATGATGAAGTGTCGTATCTAAAAGCACGTCTAACAAATTTAAGCAAGAATGGAAAATGCAGACAACCCTGACAAACCACTTGAAGTAATCATTTCCGATGACAGTTCGCCAAAAGCTCTCACTCGACTAGTAGTGTTCGAGCAGAGAGTCAGTACAAGCTTAATGCATTCTTTGGTACGCCTTTTAATGAAAAAAAAACTGCAAAGAACCTTACGATCCACAGAGTCGAATGCTGCCTTAAGGTCCAGGAATACGACTATTGTCGTACGCCAAAATGTGTGTTTTCCAGTACCTAAAAAATTGTGAATATATGGTCTATAGAGCCACATCTAGGTCTGAAACCAACATGGTTTTCTCGAGTCAGCTCTTCACGAGCTCTATCGACTTACTTACGCCTGTTACCCCCAATGGAGCACAGGCCGCCTACCAGTTTTCTCCAACTAACTGTCCTGGGCTTCCCTTTTCAGTTCTGTACACTTTTTCTTCATTCTTCTCATATCTCTATTAAGGAGTCCAAGTATTATCGAGACTAACATTTTTGACACTATATTAAACAAACTGACCCGTGTGATTGTTACAAGAAGACTTTCGTCATTTTTATACACAGGGATCATCAGTGATTGTGATTAATCGAATAGGATTAGGTCCAGTTCCTAGATTCTACATAAGATCTCAGTCAATCTAACTGCTGAAATTGGACCACCATCCTTAAAAATTCCAGAGGATAACACCTACTAGGTCCCCGCTTTAGATTTCCTATAGCATTTTCAATTTCAATAAAAACGACAGCATATAATTTGATTGAGATCTCACATAAGAATCTGTGGTGATAAGATGTCTAGTACGCATTCAAATCATCCGAAAACGGGTTTTTTATGCGATGGAGACTGGATACATTTTCCGTTTTGCATACAGCGAAAATCCGTCCCAACCTTAAACTCCTGAGAATTATGTACCGCAATATATCTGAACCGTTAATTATTGATAAAGGTTGAAAATAGGGCAAACAAAAAACGTGGACATAAAATCGCTAATTTCGAGAAGACTTGAGTACAAATCTCCTAAGTAGAGCTGATCATAAAAAACCGGTGACTGGATAGATGTGAAGTTACTGTCTTAGTGTCCAAGAAGACAAAGTATATAGTTAAAAAGAATTCGACACGTAAACGATATTTCGAGACTTACTTCACCGTATCTAGAGGCTGTTAAAACGAGCCTTCCATTAGACTTAGGTACAAAGCTAACATCAGCGATCCATGTAGGAACGGCTAGTTCCAAAGCAGATGAGCGAACGTTCTTCGCAGTGAAAATCGGAGAGCTGTGGTTGTTTATATCCCACACATGCAACGCGAGCTCTTTACCGCCGGCGACAATTTGGTTTGCTGCCAACTTTGCTGAGCATATGAGGCCTGGTGCTTTTAGCTGAAGCTGCAAAAACCGCTGATCAGACAACTCGGAAGACATACCTTCTCTGAAGAAAATTCGTGAGAAAACAGCCCTATTCTGCCAGACGAATGAGCTGAAAAGATTAATCTAACCTAATGATTAAGGACGCACACTAACTTGTCGTATGATTGTAAAATAACGACTGGATCTTCTTGAAACTTTGAGAATCGTTCGATAGAGGTAACTGAGTGACTTTTGGTGTCTACACTATATATTCTTCCAGAGCGGCAACCGATAAAAATCAATAAGCGCTAAATAGTAGACAAAACTAACAAACCTCGGATTCAAATTCACCATACCAACACATTGTACTAATGTGTTCGTTTTTAATTAGGGAAAATGGAGATGAACCGTGATTACATATCGAAATTCCTGTGCCAATAAACTTTATATGGACGGAATACCTTTAAGAAATCCAGCTGACGAACCAACAATTATGTCAAAACCGATGTGATCTAATATCATGTCAGTCACTCTAAATTTCCTCCAAGGTCGAATCAGTAAACCAACACAGAAAGTAACAAGAACAAAGCGTTAAATTTGATGAGCAACAATCTTTATGTTGGGAAGCAACTACCAGCATGCATGGATAGATTTTTACTGTTTCAGCAAGCTCAAAATCTTTGACATCTGGACCTGTGTGTTATCTAGCCTAGACCAATACAATCCATTATCTTTTCCACAAACTAGTAAAAAGCAATTGATACCTCCACTCTCGCTTAATTTGTTTTCTGTACGGTTCCAAGTATTTTTCAATACCCACTGCGTGGTATCTTATCCACTAGACCGCAGTAATTATAGTCAGCTGGTAGCTATCTATGAATTTGCATGTCCTGTGGTTTCAATTGGTCCGTTTGTCTCGAACAGAAGGATTTCTGGATACTAGTAGTAATCTCATTAGATTAATAATAATAAAGAGGGAATTTCAATGATATGGAGAGGAAGAATGTCTCAGAAACTAAGCAGATACTATGAGTTGATCAATCGGCAATGTAGAGCGTGCGACACAGGTGAAGGGATAAAAATGGGAACAGAGGTGAGTTTAAACTAAGTAGAATAAATTGATGATAATTATAGCAAAAAATATTTTACGGGACATATATCAGGTATGGCTAGTGAGGGCGAGAAATGATAAGCCGCATATGAGTGTGGATTATTCAAGTCTTTTTGTGAAGCTTTCCACTGAGGGTTTGAGATCGCTTCGGCTGGGAGAGCATTCCAGATAGAGACAACGTTTAATGTAAAAGAAATGGACGCTTACCTAGGTGTTTTCGATGTTAGGCTTTTCGAGGGTTATCTTGAGGGGCATAGTTGTGATGTACTAATAGGATGTTTGCGTCAGGGTGGCTTCTAGTACTAAAATGTTGCAAGCTATTACCGAATCACCTTTTATTCTTGTACAACTCAGTCGGAATAGTTTCGAGTTTTGGAGTTTGTCTTTCTATGGTTTATTCTTTAGCCCAGTCACTCACTTAGTTGCTCATCTCTGCACCCTCTCTATGGGATTTGTGTCTCTTCCAAGGAAAAGAGGTGTGATGACACAACCAACTTCAAGATGTGGTCGTGTGTATGTCTTGAAAAGAGTTGAGAACAGTTACAGAGTGATTGCGCCAAGTTTATCTTCACATAAAGTGTGGAGTTATATTAGCCTTGAGTAAATTCCACATATGGTTAGGACTAGTGTCCAAGCTCTCTGTGATTACTAGATGAAGATCGCGTTCTGAGGAGACATCTGGGAGCGGACTTCCTTGGAGGACGTAAGTTAATTTTGTCCCGTGCGGCAGAATTTACATGATGTGATACTTTGACTGACTGAATTCTAACTCCTTGTCTCCTGCCAATCTCTCTGTTGTCACAAAGTCCTTTTGACGTTCGATCGAACCCACCTAGCTTCTTATGGAATTCCAGATCTTTGCATCATCTGGACAGATTAGTTCCACTAGGCTGATTTTATGTAATATCAAGAGGAAGAGTGAACCTAAGATGGTCCACTATGAAACTCCGGATATTGAAACTCACAAGATAGCATGCACTCTACTTATTTTTGTACGAAACTTTCTGTCCCCTAAGTAATTTCGGAGGCAGGATTGAAGAGGTCCAATGAAGCCCATTTTCAAAACTTCACCTTGCGTAATATTTGAGGTAGTGTGTTGAGGGTTTTAGTAAGGTCAAGCGATAATATGTGAACCTGTATTCCTTAGTCCCATCAGGATGTCTAGTTGTCCCATGTTATGAGAAGATTGGATGAGCATGACCTTCCGTACTGAAACCAACGTTAAGCTTCATATAGGATGTTTCCTTCGTGCATACTCCCTCATTTGTTTATCCACCAGTTTCTTGATCACCTTCTCTTTACAGATGCTTAGTTCTTCTGGTGTACGTTGTGTAAGACAGAATTCTGAATGGTACTTCTCACTATCGGCCAGTGATCATCTAATGTTATCTTCCATCACTTTCGTGGCCATAAGGCTTATACAATACCCTCTGACATGGTCTTCTAGATTCCCAATGTGTATTAAAGGTAGCGTTTTCATCACACCTAACCATTTCGTTTGCGATAATGTTAAACATGTACACACCTTGGTAACTTCTTCCCATTGGTGTGTAGGCATGGAAATATCTGACTAGTAGTTGAGAGTTTGTTAACAAATAACCCAACTGAGAGTTTTACGTCCTCACCTCACTTTATGGAGTCAGACATTTCTTCAGCCTGTCTCAGACTTCTGATGGCAGATAGAAATCAATTTCGAAGCCATTTTGCGCGGGCTGTGCCATTTTTACTGAAATTTAGGGACGGATTGTTGAAATCTCCAGCCATCAGTGTGTAGAATTCTTTTTGAATGTTTTGTTTTTGGGAAAATCCCTCCATGTTTACATATTCTTGCCATGACCTGATGGACTTTTTCTCTTGACATTTTTGGTATTTTATTTGATTCCAATTTGAGATTTTACCATTGTATATTGTTATTCTTTCCATATTTTGTACTTATATTGAAGTTTTTGTGTTTGCTTTTGAACTGTACATATATTGTTTAAATTTGATATAATATGGCTACCGCCACATTTTTGGATAGACGCAGTGGCTGCTGAACTCAGTGTCACTTACTAGCTATTGTAATAGATACTCTACGGAGTAATTTAGTCCTGGAAGAAACATAAACATCGTAAGTCTCTGTATTTCCATTTTTTATAACAATAGAGACGGTTTTCTCCTAGAATTTTCGGCTTTCTGATTTGGCTGGGACGGGTATCTAGGAGAATCGTACCGGTGTGTTTCTATTGGACGCGATTAGGACAGCCGCCTGCGAAATAAATTCTACAGTCTGATGTTTTTCCTTCTGGCGTGAATTATACTTGGAAATATTTACCAGAACGAAACATTTGGAATTTAATCGTTTATCGTACTAGACTTCCTTGGAGGAAGACGTTGGAACTACGTATCATTAATTTTGAACTGAAATTTGGATTTATTCTATTTTGTATCGTTAACGTCTTTGCTGGACTTTATTTATGATGTCAAACCGAAAAAAATCACACGTGAGGAGGGTGGAAGAGCTCGACGGATCACAGGGCTCTAGGCAAGTCGTTAATGATGCACTTTTTATGGGTAACCCACATGTTATGTCTGATATTTATTATTGTAAGTCATCGATAGAGGGTTTAGAATTACCTAAGGTTGAACTTTCATATTTTGATGGAAGGTCTCGCGACTATTTTAAGTTCATACGACAGATAGAGACGTTTATAGAACCTCGAATCAAGGATGATCAAGTTCGTTTATTGTATTTAATTCATTATTGTAAGGGAAAAGCGAAAAATGCGATCGAAGGCTGTCTTATAATGGACCCACAGGCAGGATATAAGAGAGCTAAGGTTATTTTAAAACAGCTTTTTGGGCAGTCACATGTGATAGCGCGAGAAACCTTAGAGGACTTATTTAGAACTGGGAATGTCGAATTTAATGATCCCGAATCATTGACGAACTTGGCCATTAAAATGCAAAATGCTTCTTTAACTTTAGAACAGTTAAATTGTACAGCTGAACTTAACTCTATGACTACTTTAGAACGAATAGTAAGGCTCCTACCTCGTCGAATGCAAGCCCAGTGGGCAGAGCTAGTATTCAAGTGGGACGAAGAGGAGAGAGAGCCCAATTTTAACGAATTGACGGAATTTATTATGTCTCGTGCTAAGATAGCTGGTAGTAGGTTTGGAAGATTAGCTTATCAGGCTAAAACAGGAAATAATAAGGAAGCTACTAGTGGTCTGCGTGCGAGACATTCGGATTCTTCGTTTCTACCTAAAGCATACTCGGAAGATAAGAGAATTGTCAATTATATCACGAAAGCATACCCTGATGAAGTACGAGTACGTGACCGTAATGATGTAAATTCTCTTGATGCGTGTCCTCGTAAGAAGCCGGATGGTGTAACAGATAAGATGGCTTTTCTAAGTGTAGAAAAGAAAGAAAAAGGTGAAAAAGGTAGGCATCAAGATGGATCCGGAGTGTGTGACGATAAAAGCCTCTTAGCTGCTCGAAAAGCCTGGAACGGTAATTTGGATTCGAGTAATCAGAGGTTAGTGAGTTCAGCAAATATGAATAAAGCCCAGGCAGGATTGACTGAACGGAATAAAGCTTATTTTCGGAACCCTTCAGTTAGGGTAAATTATATAACTGGACCTAGAGTAGCTTCTAGGATAAGTGATGGTGATACAGTAACGGTTAAGAAGCCTAGGAGACATGATGCTACTATTACTAAAAAGCCTGAACCTCATGCTCTTACGGATGCTACGATTAGCTATGGAAATAGTAGCCATCAGAACCTCAATAGTCACAGTGATAATAAGGATATAGAAAGTGTCAGCAGTCCACTTATAGGGACTAGTTTATCGACTTCATCGAGTGAGCCTCCTAGTGTTTCGACGCCGTTGGACCTCGTCACGAAGGTTAAGTCGATTGAAGATGCACAAGGTTGTGCAGCTGTAACTGTTCCTATTACGGTTGACCGTCAGTCGAGTGATGATGAGAAGAAAATGTTTGATGGTAACAGCCCGTCTACAGTGATATGTGATGACGATGCTATTGTTGAGCATATGTCTTGTGCCGCTGAAACGTATGCTAATGCAGAACGGAATCAATTAGACGTTGATAATAAACCGGATGTCACTGATGTGACAAATGAGTTACCGACGATGATGAACACTGTTCAAACCTCCTCTGCAGCAGGAGATGGAAGGATAAATATTGATCCTACGTCATGCTACTTAAGGTCTTCTGGAGACGACGAAATGTCAAAATTGGAAATCTCACCCTTGCATATTAGTTGTGGGTCAAAAACTTCTGTTGATAAGTTGGCATCACGGACTTCATGGTATCTGCTGATCAGAGCAAGTGGTGGTGTATTGGCGACTCGTCCCCACGATAGAGAATGTAGTCCTTGGATAGGATATGACCAGTTTTGCGACGCGTTGTTCATGTTCGTATGGGTTAATTGGGGAAGGTTTA